CATCATCAGCTGTCACCTCAGGGTCATCATCAGCTGTCACCTCTTCTACTACTTCATTTACCTGAAGGGCAACACAAGCAGTTACCTCAAGACCCACTTGAGTCACCTCAAGTAAATCTCCAGGTCTCACCTTAATTACAACACCAGCAGTCACCTCGAGTAGAACCCCAGCTGTCACCTCATGTCCGGCACAAACAGTCAACACAAGTCCATTACCAGAAGTTACCTCAGGTCTGTCATCAGATGCCACCTCAACTCCATCTCCACTCGTCACCTTCAGTCCAACACCAGCTGTCAAATCAAGTCAAACAACAGTCGTCACCCAGTCCAACACCAGAAGTTCACTCAAGTACAAAAGCAAGTCACCTCAACTCCAACACCAGCTGTCACCTCAACTCCAACACCAGCAGTCACCTCAACTCCAACACCAGCAGTCACCTCAAGTCCAACACCAGCAGTCACCTAAGGCGAATATCAACAGTCACCTCATATCCAACACCATCTGTCACCTCAACTCAAACACCCGAAGTCACCTGATTTTCAAAGCCAGCCATCACCTCTATTCCAACACCAGCAGTCACCACCTCAAGACACACTTGCATCAATTCATGTCCAACACCAGCTGTAACCTCAACTCCAGCACCAACAGTCACCTCAACTCCAGCACCAACAGTCCCCTCAAGTCCAACACCAACAGTCACTTCAACTACAACAACAGTGGTCACCTCACGGCCTTCATCAACTTTCTCCTCAAGCCCAACATCAGCTTTCACCCTGAGGTCATCATCAGCTGTCACCTCAAGATCCTCATCAGATCTCAGGACAATTACAACAACACCCATCACCTCCGTTCCCACTTGTGTCACCTCATGACAAAAATCAGCTGTCGGCACAACTCCAACACCAGCAGTCACCTCAAGTTGAACACCAACAGTCACCTCAAGTCCCCAACCAATAGCAAACCCAAGTCCAATACCAGGACTAATGTGAATTCAAACACAGCTCTCACTCATCATCCATCACCTCCGTTCCCACTTGCATCACCTCATGACAAAAATCAGCTGTCAGCACAACCCCAACACCAGCAGTCACCTCAAGTTGAACACCAACAGTCACCTCAAGTCCCCAACCAATAGCAAACACAAGTCCAATAGCAGGACTAATGAGAATTCAAACACAGCTCTCACCTCACTTCCAACACCAGCTGTCACCTCATCACCTCACATGGTACAGCAGCCATCACCTCAATTCCAACCACAGCCGTCATCTTATGAACATCACCAGCGTTCATCTCCAGTCCATCCTCACCTCACACATGAAGTCCATCATCAGCTGTGAACTCGACTCCTACACCAGCCGTCACCTCAGTTCCCACTTGAGTCACCTCAAGTCCAACACCAACATTCAACTCAATTGCGTTACCATCAGTTACGTCAAGTCTGTCATCAGCTGTCACATCAACTCCATTT